CAAGAGGACCCAGATCCTGCTGATGATTCCCAGCATTCTCTAAGTGAGCAGGAGGACCCACCACAGCTTACCGAGCTCAATAAGGAGGATGAAACTTCTTCAATCCAGCAGGATGACCCAGCTCAGCCTTCAGAACTCCTTGAGGAGGTTGACTATTCAGCAATTCAATTAGATGACCCAATACAACCCTCAGATCACAGTAAGAAGGATGAACCTTCTCTAACCCAGCAGGAGGACCTATCACTACCTCCAGAGCCCCCTAGAGAGGTTTTAAATCAACCAGGAGGCCATCATGAGGTGATGGTTTTACCTCCAGGACAAAGTGAAGCTCAGCATCTAATGTTGCCCAATGTCACAGTTAAACCTCTGGACCTGGAGCTTACCATAACTTCAGAAGCCACTACAGAGGTTCCAGCACCAGTCCAGCAGGAAACCACAACTCAATCTCCAGAGCCCCTTGATGAGATGGAACCGATTCCAAGCCAGCTGGTGACCCCAACTCAAACTCCAGAGCATCCTACAGAGGATGAATCTTCTCCAAACCATCAAGAAGACTCATCACAGACTCCAGAGTCCACTGAGAAGGTTGAATCTTCTCCAGCCCAGGAGGAGGACCCAACAAAGCCTGCAGATCCCACTGAAGAGGTCCAACTTCCTTCAGGCTAGCAAGAAGCCCCAGGTCAGCTTCCAGAGGAACCTGAGGAGGATGAACCTCCTTCAAACGTGCAGGAGACCCCACCTGAGACTTCAGAGCCTCCTACAGAGGTGGTAACTCAACATCCAGGGGACCATGAAGTGACAGCTTTACCTATAAGTCAGAATGAAGCTCAGTATCCAACATTGTCCAAAACCACAGTTAAACACCTAGATTTGGAGCTTACTATTACTTCACAACCCACTACAGAGGCAGGACCTTCCCCAACCCAGTTAGAGGCTTCATCCCAACCTCCAGTTGAATATTCTCTATTCCATCAGGAAGCCCCAGTTCAGCTTCCAGAATGCTTTGAGGAGGTAAACACTTCTTCAGCTCAGCAAGAGGTGCAGGCAGAGCCTTCTCCAGCTCAGCAGGAGGCCCCAGATCAGCCTCCAGAGCCCCCTAAGGAAATCGAGCCTTCTCCAGGCCAGCAGGAGGCCCCAACTCAATCTCCTGAGCCCCTTATGCAGGCAGAGCCATCTCCAATTCAGCAAGAGGCCCCATCTCAGCCTCCAGCCCCCCCTCAGGAAGTTGAGTCTTCTCTAGCCCAAGAGAGCCCAATTCAGATTCCTGAGCCTCCTATGCAGGTAGAACCTTCTCCAACCCAGCAAGAGGCCTCATCTCAGCCTCGAGAGCCCCTTAAGGAAGTTGAACCTTCTCCAGTCCAGCAAGGATTCTCCACTCAGTCTCTTGGGCCACCTATGCTGGTAGAAGCTTCTCTAGCTCAGCAGCAGATCCCATCTCAGCCTCCAGTGCCCCCTAAGGAACTTGAGCCTTCTCCAGCCCAGCAGGGAGCTGTAACTCAGGCTCCTGAGTCCCCTATGCAGGTCGCACCTTCCTCAACTCAACAGGAGGTCCCATTTCAGGCTACAGAGCCTCCTAAAGAAATTGGGCTTTCTCCTACTCAGGAGATTCCACCTCAGTCTCCAGAACTTCCTAACGGGACACCATATCCAGTACTGCAGCAGGTCTCCAATCAACCTCCACAGCCCCCTGAATTAGTGGGCCATCCTTCTCCAGTCCAGCAGGAAACCCCTACTCCATTTAAAGAGCCCCCTGCAAATTCAGAGCAGGAGATGCCAACTGCACTTCCAGAACCCCCTAAAGAGGCAGAACCTTCTCCAGTCCGGATGGAGTCTCCAGCTCTACCTCCAGAGTCCTCTGAGAATAACCAACCATCTCCAGCCCAACAGGCAGCCTCTGCCCTGCCTGCAGAACCCCCTAAAGAAGTTGAACTTTCTACAATCCAGCAAGAAGTCCCAGTTTCACCTTCAGGTGAAATAGAGCCTTCTCCATCCCTGCAGGAAGTCCCACCTCAGGTTCCTGAGCCCTCTAACGAGGCTGTGCCTTCTCCAATCCAGCAGGAGGTACAAGTGCATCTTTCAGAGCCCCATAAAGAGACGGAGCCTTCTGCAGTCCAGCAGGAGACTCCATATCAGCCTCCTATGCCTGCTAATGAGGTGGAATCTTTAATCCAGCAGGAAGCTCCAACACAGCCTTCAGAGCCTACTGAGATGGTGGAATCTTTGACAACCCAACAGTGGACCCCAGCTCAACCTCTGGAACCTCCTAAGGAGGGTGTGGCTCAACATCCAGTGTTCGATGAGGTGACAATTCCACCAACAGGCCAATATCAAGCTCAGTGTTTAAGTTTGCCCAGCGTTACAGCTCAACATATTGACCTGGACCTTACCATAACCCCAGAACACACTATGGAAGGTGGTGACCATTCTACAACCCCACAGAAGACTACAACTTCTCCAAATTGCCCTGAGGTGACACTTGTACATCCGGAGCAGGTTCAGGTTCAGCAGCCAAACCTGACTGAAGTCACAGTTCAACCAGCGGACTTGGAGATTACTATAACTCCAGAACTTTCTCCAACAACACTGGCAGGTCAGGATCAAGCTAAGCACTCAAACTTACCCAAAGTTACCATTAAGCCTGTAGATCTGGAGCTTACCATAACTTCAGAACCCATTACAGAGGTT